AAGTTATTTCAGAGGTATTGCAAGTATTACATATATACAACAATAATAAAATATTGACATAAAAAAGGAAATTTACTTTTGGTACTTAAGTACTTTTAAAAGCAAGTACTTCTGTACTTTTACTTAAGTAAAAATCTGTCTTTACAACTTTCACTTGTAATGGAGTAATATTTGACCAGCAGTATCTGTACTTTCACTCAAGTAACGTAATAAGAGTTGTGTACTTTGTCCGCCTCTGGGGATAACGTTACAATAAAACATTACAATCTACACATCAAAGACGTCTAAAAATTGATGATTGAGGCAATTGATGAATGATTAAGGCATTAACAACAACAAAAAGCCGAGGCATAAAAGTGCCCGCAGTAGCCCAAATTTGCTGCAGAAAAACATAAAGCCTAACTATATAGGATACATAATACGGTAATAATTTTTTTTAACAATCAAGATTAACCGCGTTTTTCCTTTTTGACAAAGAATATGTTTGTGTATAAGGTTGTACGTACTTGTGCTGCTGTCGACGAGGAGATAAATCTCTTAGTTCTCGAGTGCTGCAGGTGCTTCTGAAGCAAGCCTCCAGTGAACGGCAAAACTTCTGCCTACGGCTGGGTCCTAGTGTCCGCCGGTCCCTAACAACACTGCTCAGGGAAAATACCACACTGTCTCTTTTTGATCACTGTGACACAAACGAAAGTTTACACTCCCACACAGTCAGGCATATTATGTATATTGATTCTTCAAATCTTCAAAACCTCGTCGTCTTATTTTATCAAATGCCAAAACTTTCTAGGAATAAATCTAAATTTGCTAATAGTAAACACAAACCAACAAAAGTTCAGGTCATCAAATTTGTATTTATTGATTGACCAGGCTCTCTTTACCCGTCAAACAAAAACAGATACACAGAGGAAATTCTGCACAGATGCAATAAGAAATTCTGAGCCAAAATACTTTTTTTTAGTCTTCCCTGGGAAACAGGTACTGAAGGTGCACTGCAGACTCCTGTCAGAGATATTTAGAACATTTTCAAAAACGTGATTTTGTAGCACGTGCAAGCCTGGCAGCTCTCTCACTGCTTGGGGTCATCAAAGGTCAAGAACAAATGAAAGCGGCGATCAAATACTCACATTCACAGTGAGAAAATGTGACACAGGTACCACTAAAAGTAGAAAAACAAATCCAGCTTTACAACAAGAAAAAAACAAGACACTTAAGGATCTGCAATTGTGGCAAGAAAAAGCACAATGGGAAATGTAGAACAAACAAGAAAAAACACAACATAAATATTCTTCTGTGTACTGGTACATGCGTGTGACTGCAGATGACAATGACAGCCAGGCAGCCTAATGAAAAACCTGCATTATGAAATATCAAACATCAGCACAAGCTCCGCCCACTACAGAGCAGACAGAGAAGGTGAAGACCACATGAGAGTCCAGATCCACAGAACAAACAAAATGAAGAAATGCAGCTGCCTGACGGGTAGTGCAATAACAGGAAGTCCAAGATAGAGGTATGGGGCCATGAAGAGGTGAGAGGTCAGAGGTTCATTTGTAAAGCCTCAGAATGGATGTTCAGAGACAAATACTGTGAGGCGGATTATTGAACTGCCACGGAAGTTGATGACGTTGTTAACCGTAACCATCTCTAGATCTAGAACGATGGTCTTCGGTCCTTTAATGGGCCGGGCCAGAACCAAAGTTGCACTGATATTACTGGTTTGCTGTGGAAAAAAAGGGAAAGAATGTTTTCATATTTTTTAAATTCGTTCCAAGTCTGTCACTCTTTCTCTTCAGAGTTGAAACACTGCTTGCCCACATGGACAAATTATATGAAAACAAACCCTTTCAACAATTTCAACTGATATTTGATTAGCTAAGGGACTCCTAGGACCCATAAAGATTTTGTGGTTTGGCTCCAGAGTAATTTTACCAGGCTCACAGAAATCCTACAGCTCCCTCTAGTGGTCACCTTTATATATAAACTAACATTAAAAAGTATGCGGTCTGTAAGATGTTTTAATCGTTTTTGAAAGACGTCTCTTATACTCACCATGGCTGCATTTATTTGATAAAAAAATACAGTAATATTGTAAAATATTATTAAAATTAAAATAAGTAATAAATCATTTTAAAATGTAATTTATTCTTGTGATGGCAAAGCTGAATTTTTACTTCAGTCTTCAGTGTCACATGATCCTTCGGAAATCATTCTAATATGCTGATTTGCTGCTCAAGAAACATTTTTTATTATTCTTCTTATTATCTTATTATTATTAATTTGGTGCTCAATAAACATTTCTTACTATTTTAATTTAAAACAGTTGTTTAATATTTTCATGGAAAGTGTGATCCATATTTTTTTCAGGATTCTTCAAAAGAACAGCATTTATTTAAAATAGAAATATTTTGGAACATTATAATTGACTTTATTATCACTTTTGATCAAATGAATGCATCCTGAATAAAAGTATTAATTTCTTTAAAAAAAAATGTTGACCACAAACTTTTGAACAGTAATGAAAGTGTTTTACAACAGGCATCAGTTATACAAACAGAAGCCCATTTACCCGCATGTAAAACTCTCGCCCCTCGTTGCCAGACTTGATCTGAAAGATGTAAAATGCTCCAGGGTAACGTGTGGTGGCCTGCATTTGAAATATATCGGCAGGAACACTGCGGCCAGAAGACAAATCCATATGCCTGTACAGAATAGTGAAGGGTTGTTCCCGACAAGCGGGATTCTCGGCAGAGCACATGCACTGACTGAGAGAGAAAGAGAGAAGTATATTCAGAACATGCTGCAACTGTTCAACAAAACGTCAAATGACTGACTAAAGCAAACAGGTTTTCTTTTGTCAGCATTCATGAACTCACTTGTCACTGAGCTCTATGAAAGGTGGATCACATCTAAGAGGGTCCAGACATGTGTAACCTCCCTGGAAATTGAAACACACTTGTGCTGTTGTACAGGTGTTGTTTCCAGACTCACATTCATTGAGGTCTTGAAAATCAAACACACAACAGACAGAAGTCAGGTTATCAATATCATCATGATCATTAACAGCAGCAACAATAACTACAACGTCAAGGAAGCTAAATGGTGCAGCAGATATGAAATAGCTACTCTTGTGTTCAAAAAAATTCTGTAAATGGCTAATGCCAATAGCAAATGAACTGAGAAAATGACAATAAATATTTCTTACTCGCTATGAAACTTCCTTTTTGATTTACATTTTTTTAAAAGTCTCTCTCTCTATACATACATACATAATTATCACTATATACTCATAATGCATATTATGCATACTGAAGGCAAATGATGCAAGTCATTGCTATTAGCATCATATACAACACAAAACGGGTTGTCTCTCTGAAAAACTGCACTTGACACAAAAATGTGAAGACATATTTTTGTTTTAGTGGTTTAATTTGAGAAATATTCCACATGTGTGTCACAACAAGGAGAAATGCAACTACGAACACTTAGAAAAACATTTATAACAAAATATAAATGATTCAACAAAATCACATTGAAAGAAGCACACAAAATAAAAATGTAGAGATACCTTCACAGCTCCTTCCATCCTCATACACGTAATATCCAGGCGGACAAATGCAGGAGAATGATCCTGGCGTGTTCACACACGTGTGCTGACAAAGGAAGTCTGAGAAACTGCACTCGTCCAGATCTAAGGATGGGTAATGATAAAGACAGACACATCACACACTATCAATGCACACAGTCACACATACAAAATCAAGCAACACACATCTTAAACCTCTCTCTAAAAGCTCTAAATTGTTGGTCCCCTGTCTCTCTCTATTCTTATCGTCTCTTCTCCTCCTCTTATTACCATTGCAGGTGGTCCCATCAGAGGCGAGCTCGAAGCCCTCATCACAGGTGCACATGAATGAGCCGTATGTGTTCAAACAGCCGTGAGAGCATGGGTTTGTCTCACACTCATCCACATCTGGCGAGGCAGTAAGAGGAAGAAGATGGCAGATGTCAAGATTTTCAGTAAACTCTCAAACTAAACAATAATGATGTTCCTGTGTATGTGTGCACCTTGGCATGTCCTGCTATCAGCATTAAGAAGGAATCCAGGGCTACAGGAGCAGGAATATGAGCCAGGGACATTAGCGCACAGCTGCTGGCAGTAACCATAGCGACACTCATCAATGTCTAAAGAAAGGCGAGTTAGAGAGCACTAAATACGCAAACAGTAGTCACAACTGAATTAAGACATTGTTTGGTGTCAAATAAGACTGGATTATTTCATTATTTAAACATCAAACAAGCAAAGTAACAATTTGAATGGTCATATAATTGAACCTTTGAACAAACATTAACTGGATTTTAATTTACACTACTGTTCAAAAGTTTGGGGTCGGTAAGAATTTTTATGTTTTTACAAGAAGTCTCTTACGCTCACCAAGGCTGCATTTATTTGATCAAAAATACAGTAAAAGCAGTAATATTGTGAAATATGATTAAAATTGAAAATAAATTTTTCTATTTTAGTGTACATTAAAATGTAAGTTATTCCTGTGATAGCAAAGCTGAATTTTCAGCAGCCATAACTCCAGTCTTCAGTGTCACATGATCCTGCAGAAATCATCCTAATATGCTGATTTAGTGCTCATGAAACATTTCTTATAATTATTAATGTTTAAAACAGTTGTGCTGTTTAATATTTTTTGTAGAAATCATGATGCCCTTTTTAGGATTCTGTGAGGGGGAAAAAAAGATCAAAAGAACAACATTAATTTGAAATAGAAATCTTTTGTAACTTTACTGTCACTTTTGATTAGTTTTATACATCCTTGCTGAATTATATAATATTAGTTATTTTAACAAAATCTTACTTACCCCAATGTTTTGAACGGAAGTGTACTTTAACATAACGAAAACTGCTTTATTAAAGGATTTACCGTGTACATGTTGTGTCACATGTAGACATCACAAATTAAAGCATGTAACATCAAACTATCCATTCATAATGTCTGTAAATCTTACCTTGGCACTGTCCACCCACCAGCCAGTAGCCCTCAGTACATGAGCAGGTATATCCACCGGCTGTATTTATACACACCTGAGTCGGGTTACACTGGTGTGACTCTGCCTCACATTCGTCAACATCTAAAAAAAATTTAAGATAGCCACAGTCAGCTCCCACTTGTGCATTTCCCACCACTATCCACTTTAGAAACTCACCTAAAACAATTCATCTTGATGTATGTAACTTCACAACACTTAAATGTTTCATTATCATCAGAATACTGATACAGAATACTTCATCTGTCCCACTGATAGCTTGCCCTCTGTGGACAGATGTTCTTTACTTTAAGCTTAGCAGGTCTGTTACACCTCGAACTCCATCCTGACCTCATAAATCTTACCTTACTATCACATCTTACACAAATAGCTAGTCTTACACAACGCATTTCCAAAACTGGAGTTCATATCTCTCTGTTCCACTCTCGCTCACACATTATCAGCACAATTCCTTATGAGGGCATCATATGCTTTAAAAATACCCGAAAAAGCACCCTTGGTTCTCAGACCATGAAGTCACATGTTTTAAAAGTAAGCAAATGTTACTATGAAAGTGATGAGGGCGTGATGGATTTGGGGGGGTTGGGGACCGTGTGAAAGCCAGATAATTAGTTTCTTTTGGTTAAAGCTGCCAACAGTCCCACGGTTACTATATGGGTAGAGTGATGCAATGGGTCCTGGCAAACCAAGCTGAAATTCCATAATAATAAGTTACTTGTGCACTTTAAAATTACCCATTCACTTGCATTTGGCATTTCAATGAAAGCATCTGACTGTACAGTATAATCGCAAAGGTAGTCACCTGCTTTGCATTACACCTGCCTGGAATTGAACTTTTGTGTTAGCAGCTCAGATCCTTAACTATTATAGACATCACAAAGCATTATTATGAGGTGGAATCATTACAGCCAGGTCTGATAGCAGAGATGCGGCCACATGAGGCTCAGCTGGGCCCCGGAGAGTGAAGGAGAGCATCTGGATTACATGTGTACTATCACACACGTCTGATCTGAGGTGAAAGGATCTGGAGCATTCTATGAATGCCAGCATTTTGGAGATCAGATCTGATCCAGAGACTGTGCAGTAAATTTTGCACAAGATTTAAATGAGGGTCAGAGGAAAGACATGGTGTGTAAATGAAAGAGAGGGAAACGTGTCTGCATGCAAAAGAGGAAGAGAGATCAATGATATAAAATGTTGACGGGTGATATCATTCATGTGGTCAGAATCATGATTTTTACTAGACTTTTAACAAGTTTACTACGGTACAATTCATTAAATTTAACAAGAGGCCCACAAACCAGATGTTGCTGAGGTCATTAAATCTAATCTTCACATCAGAGATATTCAATCCCTTAAAAGTAAGCCCAGACGAAATCTAAAGACTTTACTCATATTTGGAAAATCTGCAATTCTGTGAAATGGATTTACACAAGGTAAATGTGTTAAACTGCGCTCATAACGTTCTAATTGCTAGCTGAAAGCAAAATCCACAAACAAATACGCAAGAGGATGGGGAATTTATATGAATGACGGGTATTATAATTCATACTCACACAACATGCTTGTCTTATTAAGGCAAAACAATTCATCAATCAAAAGAGACATATGCAAGACTAAACTTTTCAGGCATGGAAAACGTGTAGATGATTAATATGAACAAACAGGTTGAGGTCAATCCAGGACCCAAGAATCTGGCACCAACTCAAAACTCTTGCTTCTATACGCACATCTTCATTCTAGAGATTTAATGTCCGAGATCTGTTGCCAAACACTGACTGTTAAAATTATATCAAAGGCATTTACAGTCCACCACTGCAATAGTTCAAGCAGGCCGGTCAAGCAACACTTCACACAGCCCATGTGAATTAGCTGGAATCATTATACTAACGTGAGGTGTACAGTGAGCCAGGGTAGCAATTATGTTTAGTGTGGAATGTCTAGTGCAGCCACAAGGAGAGTCTAATTTGAAAGTGAAATACAGTAAAACAATAGCGAAAAGTACAATAAGCAATCACATTTTCCTTATCTGAAAAATCTGAAATATCTCCAGCAACTCTTAGGAGCTGCTCAACTCTTTCAGCTTGTTCTACACCATCCTACACTGACTTTGCACAGAAAATACAAAATGCATGGTTGATACAAAAAAAAAAAAAACTCTTTATTTGCTACTATTCAAAATTTAGGGTCATGTAGATTTTTTTTTTTTTTTTTTGCAAGAAATTAATACATCTTTTTAATGAGGATTACTTGAATTGATCAAAAGTTACAACAAAGACATTTAAAATGACTTAATTTTTTTTATAAAGATTTCTATTTCAAATGAATGCATTCATTATACAATCCTGGAGAAAAAAAAAACGATATCAGGTTTTCCATAAAAATATTAAGCAGCACAACTTTTTTCAGAGTAATACCTGCTAAGAATTCAGCTTTGCCACCACAGGAATAAATTACAACTTTAAATCTACAAAAATACTGAAAATTGATTTCATAATATTACTGTTTTTACTGTATGTTGATCATATAAATGCACAAGAGACTTCTTTCAAAAACATAAAAAAAACTTACCAACCCCAAACTTATGAATGCTAGTGTACTGTATATTTTTTTAAAAATAGCATTACATATAAATTTCAATGACTCAGAAATAATACTGACATCATACCTCAATTTCCAGACGTCCCACTAAGCTAGAGCACATTAATTAGTCTGCGGTACTAGAGCCACTCCACATTTGCTGACAGACACCAGTTACAGTCCTACAGTCTGAGTAGGCAAGTTTCAACTTGACAAATCAAATAATTTTGGACATTTTTCAAGTTCCCACCCAGAATAAGATAATTTAAGCTCTTGAATTTTGGATTTTATGCAAAGCATCCACATTCCTGAATCACAAGTGAGCTTTAAATCTTCTTTTCTCAAGTTTCTCCTGAACTGAACTGTCTTTCAGAGGTTTGCATGGATTTTAGAAGTGCCTATAAGCTTTACTGAGGCTAAACACAGGATTGATGGGATTTATGATGGCACATTTCAGGCACTGACTGGGTTGACTGTTTTAGTCCTTCAAGCCTTAGCACCACTGGCAAGAAGAGGGCATTCCCTGGCTTTTACAAACACACACGCTAACATTAAGATGAATGATGTTATGGTGTAACACTACGTACTTCCTGTACGATTTCTGTTCCATAACAGCATCCCTTAACATAAATAACAAACACACTGTACAAAGAACACAAATTGCGCAGCTGCTCAATGACAGATCTCATTCAACAACCACTGACTTCATGTTTGGCACGAGCAACCACAGATGCTGAGATCACAATGGTTTGTCTTTACGAAATGCTGTTGTACTGAATGTCTCAGTGGCTCTATAAGACCATTATCTGTGTCCAAAATTTAACACAGCACACAACATTCATCTTCATTACTCAGTCCAAGTTTTTCCCAGGTCAGGACATGTGCATATCCGCATAAGCGCATTCATGAGCATATCTGTGCGTGTATCTTCTTTATAACATGACTGTCTTGGGCTTAAAAGGTAACAAATCTATCATTTTGTGATTCTGCAGAGGAGCAAGAGAGGACTGGAGAATGCATTAACTGCAAAGGCTGGCACCAATTCGAGACAAATCCGCAGACCATATCGAAAAATACAGCAAGCAGTCATTTGTGCTACCATTTATCATATGGCACGTGAAATAGGTCACCACGCTGACACGCGTAAAGACTCCGACAGCACAATATATAACACCTATCTAGATGAAAGCAATAAATCCCAGGAGATATCCCAGACACCACATTCAGCTCAACAGTTTCAACAGAAGCAGATCACATAGAGTCAGTTACAAACTGATGATTTACGACGGTGAATAAGACACTCTAAAACAGTCTCGTTGAATTGTAAAGTTGGATCCCAGTAAGCAGGGCTAAATGCCAGTTCCTGTGTGTCTTCCTGCCTCTTCACAAGATGTAGTTTGTTCTGAGGTTCCACAGTATTTTGTGGTTCCACACTAATGACTGATCCAGTCCAAATTACGAGATTCATTCTGCTGAAGTCTTTAAGATGCCAATCAGCCCACCGCAGCCATTACTAAATTACAGTCCAGCACAGAACTGGGTCTTTGCCTCATTTCAGAGCGAGAAGACCCATGGACCATTGCAGAAAATGAAGTAAACATAAGCCCACAACCTGATGTGACCCAGAGTTAACCATGTCTCAAAGAGTCTTATTCTTAGCTTGAGTTATTTATTATAAAAAAATGGCTTTACATATGCCAGAATGTATGAAGTTCTTCTTGTGCACTACACTTGGATTTGGTACTCTATCATGTATCACATATTCTTTTAAAGCACTATGACAGAGCATGATAATGTTTAAAACTTAATTATCTGTTATTTTATTTAGTTAATAATCCAATAGTGACTCGTGTCTATTCAAATTGTCACTAAGGTCTTCTTGTAGTCTTTAAGATGCCACTCAGCCCACCGCAGCCATTACTAAATTACAGTCCAGCACAGAACTGGGTCTTTGCCTCATTTCAGAGCGAGAAGACCCATGGACCATTGCAGAAAATGAAGTAAACATAAGCCCACAACCTGATGTGACCCAGAGTTAACCATGTCTCAAAGAGTCTTATTCTTAGCTTGAGTTATTTATTATAAAAAAATGGCTTTACATATGCCAGAATGTATGAAGTTCTTCTTGTGCACTACACTTGGATTTGGTACTCTATCATGTATCACATATTCTTTTAAAGCACTATGACAGAGCATGATAATGTTTAAAACTTAATTATCTGTTATTTTATTTAGTTAATAATCCAATAGTGACTCGTGTCTATTCAAATTGTCACTAAGGTCTTCTTGTTCATCAGATAGTAGAACGTATTCAGTGACTAGTTTTTGTTCTGTTAGTCATAAATTTAACTTGATCTCAATTTCATTCTGACATATAAGCACACTTGTATGCAAAAGTTGCTGAATAAACATCTACAACTAAAGTTAATCTAATAAGCACATTTGGCATTAGTTGACATATTGTTACAGTGGCTGTAGTAATATATGGTAAAATATTATTAACATATATTGTCATTTACAATACCAGCCAATTTACAAAGTCAGCAACACATGACTAACTGAATGAAGTTATGTTTCTCAAGATTTAAAAACCTTTTAAATGCAAATTAAATTAAGTCATAAATTAAATTTTTGAAGATATATTGTGCATGCATATATATTTATTTACAAAAATAGAATAAATTTTTTTAAATGGTTGACCTGGTCTGGATGGTAAACTAAAAGCAGTCAAGATCATTATTTGGTGGGCCAGGCACACTAAGACCGCCTGACAAGCCAGGAATGTGTATCAAATCTTCTGGATTTGAACTAACAACCTTTCAAGTGCCAACTTTAAAGGGATAGTTCACCCAAAAATGAAAATTTGATGTTTAGCTGCTTACTTCTTCTTTTTTGTTATCGGTACCTATGACGCGCCTGAAACTTAAGGGGGATCGTGCTTTTTCGGTGGCAGCACCAAAGCTGTGGAACAATTTACCATTGTATATAAGATCAGCCTCCTCTTTTCAGGTTTTTAAATCTTCACTTAAGACTTATCTTTTTGAAACGGCTTATGGTCTGGAGTAAATGCTGTCAAATATTTTGATAATGTGTGATGTTATCTTTGTCATAATTTGTGATTTGTTTTATATGGTTAGTTGTTTTATGTATTAAATTTTTTAATTTTGTACAGCACTTTGGTCGACACTGTCGTTATTAAATGTGCTATATAAATCAATAAAACTAAACTAACTAAACTAAGATCTGTGTGAAGGTGGGGGCCAGTTGGTCAGTGCAGACTTTTAAAAGGGGCAGGTGAAACACCGTCTGGGCCTGAAGCTTTCTTAGATTTCTGCTTCCTGAAGACCC